GAAACAGCATAATGAAATAAGAGAAAGTGTGGCAAGCCAAAATTCTAAAAGGAATATAAATGCAGGCCTGACAGGAGAGTTGTAGAAAGAAGTTCACCCATCACTTTAATCCTGGAATTCTACTTGGTTTCTCTGACTATGTCATACTTCCCCAACATATCATTGTCCTTTGGGCTGGAGGGTACAAAATTGCAGAAGACCTCCATATGTCTTCTTTCAACTAACTGTGGTCCTCAAACATCCATGTGGGAGAAGTTCTTTTAACAAAGTAATTGAAAGACACACCCTGTTTCCCTGAAAATAAGACCTCCCAGGATAATAAGCCCAATTGGGTTTTTGCACGCATGTACTGAAATAAGCCCTCCCCTGAAAATAAGCCCTCCCCAAAAATATTGCAACACAGCAGCGGCCAGGAGGTGACCATGCTCATCACCTCCTGCACTTCAAAAATAATAAGACCTCCCCAAAAAAATAAGTCCAAGTGCTTATTTTGGGGGGTCAAAAGAAAATAAAACCCTGTCTTATTTTCGGGAACACACAGAAGTAGCCAAGGTCTGTGTAGGCTTGAGATGATAAGCATCAACAACTGGATACCCCCAAAATAAAGATCTTAAAATTTCTGTCTCCCACAGATGTAATGGGGATGGTGAAGAGGACAAAAAAGTTGTGTCTCTGCAACTGGACAAAGAGCACCATGCGTTGTTCATTGCGTTCTCCAGCTGCATCGTTAGAATTCCCCTCAGTCGTTGTGAGCGTCATGGATCGTGTAAAAAGTAAGGCATCTGTATAACTCCATGCTATTGGTTCTGCCAGTCGATCGGGACAATGGATGACTCATATCTTACTTGGTTTTGCTGTAGGACCTGCATTGCTTCTCGGGACCCTTACTGTGGCTGGTTGGCCCACGGATCCTGCGGGAGAGTGAGAGCAAGCATGTTGTAAGTAGAGCCATTTTATTGTTGAGTTTTACATCGCTGCACAAAAGCTTACCAGCATGACATTAAGCGCCCTTTTACAACTCTTTAATCCCCTGATTTGGGGTAGAGTCAGGGCAGTTGGATGGAGCCGAGAGTTTACTAGACGGATGCCCTTCCTGACACCTATGGGGAGTTCACAGCAAATACCATTTCTTTGTGCCCTAGGGGAGAAACATCCGCTGCTACCTAGGATTGAACTCTCAGCCTTCCAAGTGGAAGGCAAGCATTTCCACCAGTACACCACACTATCAACATCACATTCTGCTCCGTAAAATATCTTAAACATTGATGTGGTAGAATAAGCGTTTAAACCCTTAAAGACTTTTTTTAGAGCTATCTTCACTTACACTAGATCCATCTTTAATTAGGACCCAAGTGGTGGCACAGAAACCATCCTTGGCACAGATTTCTTTCCATGGGAAACTGTGGCAAGCTCCATTCATGCCTGATTATATACTCCCTTCTTCCCTAATTTAAAGCTATTCTTGTTCCTTTTTTAAGACTCCAGGATGCTGTTCATTTTTAATGTAGTGTTTATGGGTTTTTTTAATTCAAGTTTTCATGAAAACAAAGATGGCAACACAGGGCTAGATTAACTGCAGTTTGTATATTACCTGAAGTTCAGTTTTTGGGGGAACAATTCCAGCATTTAGGTAGTCCAATATCCAGTTACCCACAGTGAGGAGAGACCTTTGGAAATTTAAATCCGGGAAATGTGAACAACAATCTTAAAGGCTGCATCAACAGAGGGATAGAATCAAGATCGCGTGAAGAGTTAATACCCTTTATAATGCCTTGGTAAGGCCACGCTTGGAATACTGCATCTAGTTTTGGTTGCCACAATATAAAAAAGATGTTGAGACTCTAGAAAGAGTGCAGAGAAGAGCAACAAAGATGATTAGGTTTAGATTTAGGTTGATTAGATTTATATGCCGCCCTTCTCCCAAGGACTCAGGGCGGNCTAGGGGTCCCTTCCAACTCTGTTATTCTGTTAAGTGTGACTCACTTAATCACCTTGCTTAGCAATGGAAATTCTGTTCTCAATTGTAGAACAAATCAAGGACTTTTTTGGGGGGGTGAGAGGGAGTTTGGGAGCCTCTCAAATGGAAGACTACTATCATGTCTGTCCTGGTCCTTCTCTTCACGATCCACATCTTGGATAGGCAGAACAATTTAACTAGAGTGCAGACAGAGAACCAGAAGCCCAGAATAACAAAAGTTGGAAGAGACCTTGGAGATGAAAGAGGTGTGTGTATTCACTGTATAAGACACACCCAGATTTTCACCCTCTTTTCTGGGGGGGAAAGGGAGCGTCTTATACTCCAAAAAAATATGGTAACTATATTATGATTTAACACGATCGTCTCATTCGCACAACTGGTTGGGGCAATGGCTGAACAACCATAACACTAGTAACTAACATTGCCAACTACTCAGCCAAATATGGGCAAATCCAGCAGAAATTGCCTCAAAGGAATTTGAGTTCCAGCGAAGATTTCGTCCAGCGTCTTGCTCAACTCCTTTCTAAAAATGATTCTAGGGCAGCAGATTTCCTTCGGCTCCTGAATTTATGGTTCTTCCCTTCGGCCTTTTTTTTCTTTTGGGTGGTGGTGCTATTTTTACTCTCTTTTTTAAAAAACAACAACATTGCTTTCCTTTCAGACCTGGTTCCTGTGCAAAACACAGCCCAGCAGAGGCTTACAAAACCTCCATTGATTTCCCAGATGAAACACTTTCTTTCATCAAGTCCCATCCTTTGATGGACTCCGCCATCCCATCCGTCATCGAGGAGCCGTGGTTCACAAAGACGCGAGTCAGGTAAGAAGCATGGCTGGGACGCCGGGCCAAGGAGCAACAGTTCTGAAACAGGAATCCAGCTCCCAGCGTAATGACAGAAGGCACGGAGCCCTTCGCTGCTCATCCAAAGAGCGTCATCAAGTCAGAGCAAGTCAGTTAGGCAGAAAGGCCTTGGAACGCACTGACTCTCCTGCTACACCAACCTCAGAGGTTTCCTCCACAAAGCGTGTTGCAATTTGTTGCCGAAAATTCCCAACTGTCCAGTTAGAGTTGTTTGAAGGTTTAGCCACTGCAACTGGTCTAGCGTATTTTTTGGAGTATAAGACTCACCGGAGTATAAGACGCACCAAGGTTTTGAAGAGGCAATTTTTTTTAAAAAGTAGGTAGGTAGATAGAAGGAGAGAAAGAGAGAGAAATACAGTAGGTAGATAGGGAGAGAACGAGAGCAGGTAGGTAGGTAGGTAGGTAGGTAGGTAGATAAAGGGAGAAATAGAGAAAGAGCGAGAGAGAGAAATACAGTAGATAGGTAGGGAGAGAGAGAGAGAGAGAGAGAGAGAGAGAGAGAGAGAGAGAGTAGGTAGGTTGGCAGATAGAGGACTAGAGAGAGAAAAAACAGGTAGGTAGGGAGAGAAAGGTAGGTAGGGAGAGAAAGGGAGTAGGTAGGTAGATGTTTCCAGGTGTATTCATCATTCAACATTATGTGCTGGATAATGTGTCATTATTGTTCATTGGAAAATGAATGAAATTTATAAATAAGTTTAAAAACAGGTACATACAAACCAGTGATGGGTTTCAAAAAATTTTAGAACCTCTTCTGTAGGTGTGGCCTGCTTTGTAGGAATGGCTTGCTGGCCATGTGGCTGGGTGGGAGTGGCTTGCCAGCCATGTGACTGGGTGGGCATGGCCAACTTATAAAATGTGGTGAAACTCACTTAACAACGCTCTTGCTTAGCAACCAAAATGTTGGCTCAGAAACTCAGCACGCATGTCTTAAAGCTGTCAAATTACAAGACCCTTGCACCCCTAACCCTTTAGGGGGAAAAAAAACCCCAGGGGTGTTCAAACTTGAAAGCTTTAAGACTTGTGGACTTCAACTCCCAGAATTCCTCCTCCAATCATGTTGGCTCAGGAACTTCGGCATTGAAGCACGCAAGTCTTAAATCTGTCAAGTTATAAGACCCTTGCACCCCTAAACTCTTTAGAAAAAAAACCCCAGGGGTGTTCAAACTTGACAGCTTTAAGACTTGTGGACTTCAACTCCCAGAATTCCTCCTCTCGCTCTTCATCTTGATGATGTGCTGACGGGCGGGGGGAGGGAGCTGGAACCGGTTCTAAACGGCACTGTAGATTTATGGAACCTCTTCTATAGTAGAGGTTAGAACTGACAGGAACCCACCCCTGATACAAACCCAACTGCTCACCTTCCTCTTTCTCACCAGGATTGTACAACAAGGGAAGGCTGATTAATGCAGGTGCCATGAAGAATGGGATTTTATAGTTATTGAGCATGTTGTTTTTTCCTTCTTTCCCGCATATAAAATATGCTGTATCCATGACGAGGAACCTTTATTTGATTAATGTTGTGGTTGCTGCTATGAAAATGCAGCCTAGTCACACACCATTGGCAAAAGCTGGGATGCTTCTCTTTCAAAGTTATGGAAAACAAGCTTTTGGAGAGCGGCCTTCCTTAAAGAAAGTTGTGACTGCAGATTAGGACAGTGAGGAGGTTGGGGAGGAACATGGGCCAGTCCTGGAGTCTGGGGAAGGCTCTGATGAAGGCTCTGTGTCAGAGGGCAGAGAGGGGGCCAGGGCCATCTGACAGTTATCAGCTGCCTTCAGAGTCAGACATCAGTGAGGCAGAGGAACAGCTGGAGCCTGTTCCCAGTCTGCGCATGTGCAGAGAACACTGCCCTCGATAGAATCTACTCCCCACCATCCTCACAAAGCTCTCTGTGAAAATCCCATCGTCCTTGCAAAGCCATACAAGATGTCAGGGTGCCGAGAGCAGTTATGACGAGAGGTATCTTGATCTCAACAGGTATCGGTTGACCACAATAGCTGTGGATCATTCAGCTGGCCCATATCAAAACTACACTGTCATCTTTGTGGGCTCCGAAGCCGGAATGGTGCTTAAGATCCTGGCGAAGACCAAAGCTTTTTCTCTGAACGACAGCATCTTGCTGGAAGAGATTGATGCTTTCAATCATGCAAAGTAGGTCTTCTTTTAAGAGAACGAAAGATTTGACGGTGTCCATCTTGTTCAAGTGCCTTTTGCTGTTAGCCACTTGATTGAAAAGAGCTTCCTTCTTTCCTTCCTTCCTCCCACTTCAATGACATTTCACTCCCTCTATCATCTCATCCTGTCTTGTTGAAGCCCGGTCTTTAAAGAAATGTGGGTTTGCATAATTTAAAAACATAGTTGGGCCATGTTTGCGTTGAGGTGAGCACGTTTTCTTTTCATGTACGAATGCGTGGGCATGCGCCAGTATATGGCCGATGCTCCAGAACTGTGCAAGTTTATCAACATCCACTTGTTATCCTCTGGGTAAAAATAATCAGAGAAAAAAGTAATGTACAAAAGCTGATGAAGTCATGAATAACAATTAAAATGATAATTGGTAATAAAATTCTGGAGCGTTTCACCAGATCTTCTCTTTTCATAACATAACAACAATTGGCCTTGTCTAGAAGTCTGGGGAGACACGGTGGCTCAGTGGCTAAGATGCTGAGCCTGTCTATCGGAAAGGTCGGCAGTTCGGCAGTTCGAATCCCTAGCGCCGTATAACGGCGTGAGCTCCCATTACTCGTCCCAGCTTCTGCCAACCTTGCAGTTCGAAAGCACATAAAATGCAAGTAGGACAATAGGAACCACCTTTGGTGGGAAGGTAACAGCGTTCTGTGCACCTTCGGTGTTTAGTTATGCCAGCCACATGACCACAGAGATGTCTGGCTCTTCGGCTTTGAAATGGAGATGAGCACCGCCCCCTAGAGTTGGGAATGACTAGCACATATGTGCAAGGGAAACCTTTACCTTAGAAGTCTAGCTAATGGAAATTGCTGTGTTGAAGAACGCATTGTAGTGGTTCAGATTGTCAAAGGCAGGGAGAGTTACTGGTTTCTCTTAGTTCGGTTTGTCCTTGTTTGCCCCTCAGGCAACTTGAAGAGAAGTGTCAGCGTTCCAAGTATCATGTAGAATTAAATCAGAGTCCAAGGCAAAACAATCCTTAAAGTTCCAATTTAATAAAGCAGACATCTTAGCACATCTGNCGCGCTTTAGTCGAGCGCGGTTTTGTCGTGCCATGGGAAAACGGATCAAAAAATTGGTTTTATGCAAGTCGAGGATAATTTATTTAAACAAATAAGAGATCAAAGCTGAATGCATATAAAGAGACTATACAATGTATTAATACAAATGGACTCCAAAACCAGAGAAATGTGTAAATAATATATATGTTATTTGTCTTGTACTTTGGTTTCTATGGCAGATGAAACACAAGGACGGTCGCACTGTGTTCGATACACTTATACGTAAATAATAAAAAGATATATTTAAAATAAAAATAAAAAAGGGAAGTCTTGCCATTCACTGTTGGCGCTAACCGCACCGGCCAGCTTTTTTTTCTGACAGCCTCTTTTGTGTGTCTTTGGCAGCATCCCCGGCTCTGCCGTTTGCGCTTTCAACATGGAAGACATTGAGAAAGTCTTCAAAGGGAGATTTAAAGAGCAGAAAACCCCAGATTCTGTTTGGACAGCTGTGCCCGAAGACAAAGTGCCGAGGCCAAGGTAAAATATTTGTGTACGTGGGCTGTGCAAAGCTTCGCTGGCCTGATGTGATTCGAAGGTGCTTTGGTGGCGCAGAACTGCACCCTTGCACAGTTATCTCAAAGCCGCTTATCAAGGCATCAGCCTCACCTTTAGAGACTGAGATATGGTGCCTCCAGGGCTTTGCGTTGAGCAGATAACTTTGCTCCGCGGCTTGAAGTTCACCTGGAATCCTACAGTGTCACAACTACCCAACACTGGAAAATTTTGGTCCGGCAGTAGGAATTCACCCCTTTACTTGAACTTGGACACATTAACAGTGTTGGAAGGGACCTTGAAGATCATCTAGTCCAACCCCCTGCCCAAGCAGGAGACCCTACACCATTTCTGACAAATGGCAGTCCAACCTCTTCTTGAAAGCTTCCAACGATGAAGCTCCCACAACTTCCGAAGGCAACTTCTATTCCGTTGGTTGATTGTTCTCACTGTCAGAAAGTTCCTCCTTTTATTTATTTATTTATTTATTTATTTATTTATTTATTTATTTATTTATTTA